TACAGAAAAGGTTTTAATAGTTCTGCAGCAGTACAGCTGTGCTGCTTGAAGCTCCGTAGTGTAGATATTGCCATTGTGTAGGGCCAGCATGAAAAGGAGGTGGGGGAGTGGTAAAGGTGTACAGGGAAATAATTCCACATTCATGTAATAATCTTACTTTTATGACCGTCTGTTCCCATGGATATGATTGTTACAAGGTCATCATTTTCATACAAAATTCATGAGGTGGAGATTGAGTGAACAATCTAACTCTTGTTAATTGCTGCTTTAGCAAATGTGGTAAAATTGAAAATCTATGGAAGGTCAAAGATAATATTTTAAACATGATTTTTATGTAGCAGCTCTGGTATTGAGTTAAATCCTATGTGCTGAACATGTACTGCCTGGTTGATGGTTAACAATAGCCAGGTGTTGCTATCTTGTTATGATGTTGAAGATGCTGGATCTTTTACAACATATTCAATTGGAAAAATTAAGGAAGGCTGGGAAACTGTAAAGTTATTCTGGAAATCCTTTTTTGGATAAGGAGAGACACCATATAAATAAACTCTGAAGAACAAGTTTATAAATAAGAAAACAAACAAAAAGCCTGGTGATACTGCTTGCTCTGATTAAAGTGTTTGACTTTGTCTACACTTACAGTTGAAAATGCTGCTGTTTAAACAAAAAGTGCCTATGGCACATATCCTGGGGCAGAGCTCTCCCTGTGCTTTATGTAAACCACCTGTGCAAGGGAAGTAGCTAACAGCACTGTAGCCTGGTTCACTCGGATGCTCTACAGTGCTATAACTTGCTGTGCTCAGGGTGTGTGTGTTTTCACACCCATAGCCAGCATTTTCTGACTTGTTTATCTGGATGCATGCTGTACTGTAACTTTGTTTTCTGATTAGCTTGTACATTCTAACTTTCTTCCAGGTTTGTTTTAGACACAATGTCAGCTCCAGCACCCCATGTGCCAGCTCCAGGTGGCTACCCAATCTCATCAGCACCATCAGCACCCCCTACTTATGAAGAGACAACCGGAATCAACACTTACCCTCCAAATCTATATCCTGTCCAAGAATCTGAGCATGGACCGAATATGAAGGGCATGAATCCTCCTCCATATCATAGAATCATAGAACCTTCACGACCAGTTTCAGCTCCTAACCCAAGTAAGTCTGAAATACAATTAAGAGCTTTATATTTGTAGTTTCACCTTGGGGCATAATCACTGGTGCCACACAGACATAAAGTAAGGATAATGGAGAGATTTCTTTACTTGTCCCACTATATACATTTCGTGGGCCAAGAGTGACCTGAAGCTTGCCTGTTTTATAGTTGCCATATCTGGCTTTCTATTGCTTAGAAGCAGGGGCAGCCTGTGCGTATAGGCCGACTTGGCCGTCACCTAGGGCGCCGCCTTCAATGGGGCACCCAATGATGATGTTACACCATTGAGGGCCATGCAGGTGGGGGCGCTGATTTCACGTTCTGCCTGGGGTGCCAGCTGCCGGCAGCCTGCCTCAGGCCACCCCTGCTTAGAAGGCAAGTTGATTGATTCCTAGATCATAAGATACTGTTCCATTGATTGAAGTTGTTTCCCAAAACTGCAGTTTCCTTTCATCTTAATTCTGTATGTTGTGGTTCAGATGAGACCTCTTCTTTCCTTTTTTACACCTGGGGTAAATGGTGCATTTCTCTTTGCTTGCTCAGTTGCAGTTCAGACTGTGTACGTGCAGCAGCCTGTAATGTTTTATGATCGCCCAGTTCAGATGTGCTGCCTCTCCTGCAACAAGATGATAGTGACACGTCTGTCTCACAGTGCAGGAGCACTGACCTGGCTGTCATGTGGCAGCCTGTGCCTGCTGGGGTATGTTGATATTGCATGATTTCGTTTGTGAATCTCTCTACCCTTGTCATTTCCTTAGCTCAAAATAGCTGACAGGCGGCTCTGAAAGAGGGGTGGAGCCTACATCTTGTGATGCTCTCTCCTTACTTTGCCTTAGCTTGAAACCCACATCTTGTTTTATTAAACTATTAATGTAAAGCCTTTTAAATATGCTAATTATGTGGAGATAAGTTTCCGTTGAATGTATATTAACACTCCCATCTCCCACATGCACACACTGAGCACTCATTCAGAATCCCTTTGACCGTTAACATGTGGAATAAAAGAATCCCAGACATAACTGTCAGCAGCTTCTGTAAATTTACTGTCTGTCTTTACTTGGTGAGTGTGGCTAGCTACACTCCCTGTAAATGGCACACCTCAATGTTCAGTGGCTCTCACGTACACAACCCCTGCAGGGTTCACAAGCACTGCTTAAAAACCAGAGTGGAAGTACATTGCCAAACTCGGCTATGCTCTTCCTAGTACTGCGCCATCCCATTTTCATGGGCCGAATGTTACTTGCTGTGAATTGAAGGCAGTATGAAGGATGCTGTTTTGTCTTTGCAGGTGCATTGCTGGTTGCTGTTTCATCCCGTTTTGTATTGATGCCCTTCAAGATGTGGATCACTATTGTCCAAGCTGCCAAGCTCTCCTTGGTACCTATAAGCGCTTGTAAGCCATATCAAATTGAGTGAAGATGGACGTCCAGAATTGTTCAGCACCTTTTCAAGCTCTTTCGGAAGTTCATGAAGATCTGTGTTTATCGTCATTTGAATGGATCAAGATAATCTCACTATATTGTTTTTATTAGTAAGAATCTACTTAGGGGGACTCAGGACTGGCAGGGGATATAATCTGTCACTTCACAGCCACTTAAGTTGATATTGACCAAATGCTGTTTTTGTGTCTATGGTTTATGCAAAATAACTGATTGTGTGAGTCCAGTTAGTATGTGAGAGAGTTCTTTGTGCGCACTGTGACCTGAGCTGATCACGTCACCCTGAAGATCAAGGTCTGAACTGGTGTGCACACAAACTTACCTTTTCTCCCCTACAAGTGATGCCTCCAGAAAAGCACCAACGCATCTTGGTAGGGGCTGCCTATTCTGTGGCTGACTACAGTGAAGACCAGAATCCTTTTCAATCTGGCACCTTTTACATGCACTAAAATTCACTTTACATTTTTGTTTTAAAGTTGTGCCTTTAAAAAAACCAAACCAAAAATAGCCTGAAATTTGGCTTTTCTCTTAGGCTGCTTTATGAAGTCAAGCCTGCTTAGGCTACCATGTCAGATGGCTTTTCAACATAGTCTCCCAGTTTCCTTGTTGTTTGTGAGTTGTCAGACCTTTAGCATTGCAGAGTATTTTTGTGCAGGATTGTTTTATAGGTCTGTGTGCATATGTGTATATATATTTTTAACTGCTGAGTTATAAATCTGTGAAGATAGCTTTCTAGTGGAAATTATGATAGTTATGACTATCAGTGTTGTCTTTCCTATAATGTAACTATATGAGCCAAATGGTAATTCCTAAAAATACCCTCAGGCCTTTAATGTTATAAAAACTTGTATCCCATTTGCATAACTTTATAAAAAAAAAACCCTAAAACTCCCTTTTTACTTGCAATTGGTGTAATCTGATGATCACATCTTTTAATTAAGAAGGTGACTTTTTTTCCACTGAGTGAGCACTAGTTGGACAAGACTTGTATAGTGATATTTCAGATGAAAGAAAAGTTTCCAAAATGAAAGAATTTCCAGAGATTGATCACAGAAATTGGAGTTTGATTATCTGAAGCTTGAAGTACTATTTATGATTGCTGTAGACCTGTCTGATAGGGACTACAGTCTAATACTGTTCCTCGTGTGAAGTACAGCATGGCTTCACCACTGAAGGTTCAAATGTGTTTGCCTTAATTTAGCTGAATGTCTGTTTAAAAAAGCAACATTAAAAATTGAGTTTTAAATATAGGCTATGATTCTAAAATTGTATTAACCTATGTAAACAATAAACATTGCAACTATCATTCTTTAAAAATGTGTCTCTCTCTAAATATTTGGAATAGAGGTAACTTTTTTCCAAAAACATTATACCTCTTAATATTGAAATGCAGGGGCTGTTCTACAGATACAAATAAGCACATATATAGTTGATTCATTTCTTTTTCCTTAAACTGTTCATGGTTCTTATGAACCCCCCCGGCCCTCCCAAAATAAAAGCATTGTTATAAGAACTTCCTTCTGTATTTAGGAACAAAGTTTTCAGGTCTGATATTTAGCTGTACCACAAGAATTTACCTAGTAGGTAATTGGTAGCAAAATAATGGAAATAAAATAGTTCCAAGTTTCTATGTATGTTAGCACTCCCTGTAATACACTATCTGTAGTCATAAGTTAAACTAAAGAAAATCAAAGCTTGATGATAGCAATACCCAATAGTGCCAGAAGCATCAGTAGGGGGTGACTTCTGCTTTCCACAGTAGTTTTATGCAACCCAGTGGATCTGCTTACCTACTTCTTGCAGTTTTCTGTCAATTTATATTAACACCCCGCACACAGGTTATATTGAATGTAACATGCAAATGGAATAGTTTCTGGGTCTCATCTATGACTTGCCCTAGAGCATTTTGCAGGATATGGATCTAAAGCTGCTATACTAACTTGATTTCTGCATTACAGAAATCGCAATCGGGCTATTGATAGTTACTTTATGCAAGCATTAGTTAATCCTCATAACCTCACATGTCACAATGACACATGCTATTATTTTATCAATATCTCAAAATGCAAATCTTTGGCTCAGTATGTTTGAGACCAGATGGAACAACAAATCAGGTAATCTGTTTTATTAACTTCATTCATTTGCATAAGAGACAGATTTAATTGCACCTCTCTTTGGTCATATCACTCCTTTTCCATGTAAGCAGCCCTATGTATCTGTTGTTCTTTTGTAGAATACATTGTCTAATAATTACTCACCTAAGATGTGCTATCCCTACATAGTGGCATCATGGAAAGTCTGAGTTGATAGTGTTGCAATGCTTCCTCATAAGGCTCAGAGTGTGGGTTTTGTTTAGGGTGGGTTTTGTCACATCTTTTGTCCTGTCAGAACCAGAATAAGATTCTTAGTGTGGGAGGAGTCTGAGCTTTATTTAGACTTGTGAAACCACCTGCAAAAGCCATCTACTTCCTCTTTTAAGCCTTTGTTCTGAGCATTACTGCTTAAGTATTGTTTCTTGTGTACGTACAGGTGTTTTACATTGCAAAGACCAAAATAATTCAGTGTCCGAAAAAGTGTATCAAAGAAATGCAGGAAATATGACTGTTTTAAAAAGCTTTTGTGTTCTGGGTTACATTGAAGTTAATTGGCTTTTATTGATTAATATCTTTACAATAAAGTTGACTTTTTTTGTACAGTGACAATGGTAAAGTGTTATGGAATATTGCATCCGGGAGTATGACAATGTTAGAAGGAGAGGTAATTGTTGGGATAAATAAATACACACTCTCCTCTGCTCTAGGTGCCTAACACAAGGTTCCAAGTGGGAACTTCTTGATCTTGGTCTAAATGTGTGGAAATCTTATATTTGGTTGCCTTAAGGAAATTGCCAAAACCCTCAACAGTAAATTGATCCTGGGGGGGGGTGCAACACGCCATGGCCCAGCACTCTCTCTCCTCTCCTCCTCCCCCCACAGGCCCTGACCCTTGGACAGGCTGAAAGTCAGAGCCTGGCCAAGAATGGCCCGGAGATCTTTGGATCACCTTACTATGGTCTGGCTGTGGTCCTCTGGCCCCAAGGCCAAGCTGGAGACTGGATCTGGATAAGAGCAGTATGGCAGCTATGGGAGATCTGTGGGTCCTCCACCTGCCCTGAGTAGGGGACTGCTCTGAGACAAGAGCAGCCTGTGCTCGCTGGCTCAGCTATGACTTCCAATATGGCTGGAGGGGAGTGGCTTGGGGTAGGAAGAGGAGCAGGGTCATGGGAAGAGGAGCAGGGTCATGGAAGGTATCTGGCCTTGTTGCGCCTCCCCCCTCACCCCCCAACTTGGAAATATCAGCCACTTGTGAATTGTCCTAATAAAAGTGAAGGAGATTCAAACATTGACCTTAAAGATGAGAAAGCAGGGCTGCTCTGGGGAATCTTGGAGGGGACAAAAGGAAAGGCAAGGAGGTGCCATTTGCAGGGTAGAGTGTGCTTTGTTTGTGTGTGTGTTTTTTTGGGGGGGCAGGCCCCGAGGACCAAGCTTCAGAGTTCCCTTCAGCAATTCAATCCTGAGGCAGTTTCAGCCTGAGTGGCCATCAGCAATAACAACAAGCCAGAATGGAATAAAACTTGCTGTTTGGCTTAGAGGAGCAGGAAGTAAAACAAGCAGCTATCGAGTGATCACATGCAAGATGCAGATCTGAGGAGTAAAAGCAATCCTTTTATGTAGTGGGTATTCACAGTAGCCCCTTCTGAAAGCACTTTTCATTACAGATGTCTATTGTCTAATCACAACTCATTCTTCTGAGGTACCAGCAGTGTGACCTCATAAAACTGGTGTAAGTTTAAATGTACTTTATAGCTGAGCAGCATCGTTAGTGGTTGAGTGGACTTTGCCATCCTGATAATTTAAAAAGAAAAATCTAAATGCACTGGAACACACTTCTCATGTAGAACTTGATTTACTTGTATTTCATAGTAACCAAACTTTTGTGGCTCTAGCTGCTTTCCATTGTTAGCCACAGATGATCAAATTACGAGATATAAAACTTGTCATCTCAGGATGACTTTTTAACAGGTTCTTGAAGCTTCTGCATTCTCCTATAATCTTTCAGCAGCTAAACTGTTGACATTTATATAACACATGGGTGGCTAATCAACTGCCTTTTAACCAGGACTCTGTGTGTGTGTGTGTGTGTGGGGGGGTACATTAAGATCTGCTGGTTTAAGAAAAAAGCCTCTCATACAAACTTGCATTCTTTCCCTTCCTCCCCATCTCTCTCTCTCTCTCTCTCTCTCTCGTTTAAAAAGTAAGAATTTAAACCTGGCTCATTAGTAGGTTGTTTTGGGGGGTGGAGAGCTTAAAAATGGTTCTGCACAGTATAGAATGAGTTCATGTAAAGTCAAATATTTCAATAAAACACTTTAAAACGTGGTCATGAGGACTCTTGAAATATTGAATCATTGTGATGCCAAATAGCCAAGTGGTTATAAAGCATAGCATGGAAATTCAATAATAAATTGTAAATAAGTTACTGGTCTCTCAAAAGCATTAGACTAGTTACAAGAAAGATTCTCACATGCATATGTATACCATAATTTGCCTCTGTTTCTGACTGAGCAGCTGTTGTGGAGCAGCAGTTATGTAAGAAGGTTGTTCATATTTTGCAGACACTTGGTTATTCTTCACCTTGGCAGGTGAATCTCTGGACTACAGAAACAGATGGGAAATTGCAAATGGCTGCAGTTGACACCAGTGCTCATGGCTGTGTTTTGTAACATTTGAATTAAAAAAAAAAAAAGTTACATGCCAACTCTTTGTGCATGAATGCAAACACAGGGCCTTTGTTCACTGGCTGGTGTCATAGACACCAATGGAATCAAGAAGGCTTCGTGGTTTTCTGCAGGAGAATTTGCAGAAGCCAAGAGTCCTCTTCATTGATTACAACAGGAAATTTTCATCTGTGACTTTACTGGCTCATGCATCCTCTATTTATCTTAGCTGAGCCCTCTAATATGCAGAAGATTAAAATGAGATTTACGCCTTTTCTATAGGAAAGGCAGATGGCAAATGCCTGCAAACCAGCAGCTTTTAGGACCTTACTCTAGATTCCTTTTCTAGTCGTGGGACATCCCCCTCAGTTTGATGGCCCTGCAATTTATACTGTGGCAAAGTTTATGTGGATGGAAGTGAGACAACTCTGGTGTCATGTGGGCTTTGCAGAATTGTGTAAAAGTTCATCAGAATAAATAAATAATTTAACTTCAAATAAGAGTTAGTCTTTATTTACTAGAGAAGGCCAAAGCTGTTTTGAGCCCATTCTGTCTTCTGAAAAAAAATTTTAGGCACTTAAACTATAAATGATCCATTAAGGATTTGAACTATCAACCTCATACCACAGATCACCTGCTTCATCCATTGGGCTCTCTAGTCTCTTTGGGTGGTAGCTGTTTGCAGGTATTAAATTGCTTACCACAAGAGGGTGCTCATGTTATTCCCTGAAGGCAGTAGGGCCTATACAGAGGAAAGAGGAATTTCAGATACACTTTACCTAGCAGAGATCAAAGAGCATGTGATAATGAGATCTGTATGTGCAAAATGGCATGTACAACAACTCGTGCTTAATTTGCTGTCCTTTGCTTCTTGAGATGTGATGAATTTTCTTTTTTTTTGCATTGACTTCAGGTTTCAGTTCTAAGAACAAAATGTTAGTTTCCTTAAAGCTCAGTCTTGTAGATGGCAATGCCTTGCTCTGTCTACCCTGATGCTCAGAATTGGGACTCAATGGTGCCATTTCTTAACGTTATAATGGGCACGTAATGTAAGGAATAAATGTATCAACAATCCGCTTTACTGCTGTAAGGGAGTGTAAAGCAGTAGTTCTAGTTTAATAGAAATCTGTCTCCCAGCTTGAACTCCGGTCTTCGTGAATGCTACTGCTGTTCCCTGTTGGTCACACTCCAAGTCCTCTCAGCTCACAAGTATCAATAGACCTAGTGATTGTGTGTTCCAATCTTTCAGATAGTTGCTGATCCTGCAAAGGTTTAGGCACATACTCACATTAATCTAGTGAGTCAGCATGGATTCAGTGGTCACACACAAATGTTCTGAGGGGGAGTTTAGAATGGTTAAGTTTAGGGAGTTAATTAATATTGAACATAAGAATGACCGTACTGGGTTGGACCAATCTAGCCCAGTATCTGTCTTCCATCATTGGCCAGTGCCAGAGGGAGTGAACAGAACAAAGGGAAATTACGAAGTGACTCATTCCCTGTTCTCCAATGAAAGCTTCTGGCAGTCAGAGGTTTAGGGATAACCAGAGCATGAAGTTGC